GTGTGCCTTGGCTCTGGACTGAAATGATACACAAGCATATTTTAATGCACTAAAAAGAGGAGACCAAGATTGTATGAGGAAAATCTCTTAAAGACAATTTGTAACTTTGCAATATCATTGATTTCACCTTCAGTAACGTGTCACACTTTTCCTTGTTCAGGGATCCCAGTCAGTCAGTCCTTTACCTGAGCCTATTTGATCCTGACTGTCTGACCAAAGTTAGACTAAAACATGTTTGACACACATTTATAAAAACATACATTTGAAAAATATATTTTAGGGCCATACCTATACAAAACATGTCTGTGAAGTTTTTTTGCTTAAAATACCAAACAGATCACCCATTGTAGCCAGGCTGATTATGCTTTAAATGGAACGGCTGCTGCTAGCCACGCCCCTTTGTAACAAAGGGGCGTGGCTAGCAGCAGCCGTTCCATTTAAAGCATAATCAGCCTGGCTACAATGGGTGATCTGTTTGGTATTTTAAGCAAAAAAACTTCACANCAAATATCATATTTATACTTTTTTATTTTTTTTACATATAATTGTAAAGCAATACATGATTGTCACTAAAAGCCTTGTCTCTACATTACAATACAAAATAATTGATGAATTAATTTGAATAACAATTCAAGTTAGTAGCTATTAAAGGCATAAAAAGACAGAAATTTATAATTCTTTCTTGAATGGAAATGTTTCTTCTGCCCGTAAAGTGTCCAAACCGGGCTTTTCTGGACAAGCGCATTTTTAAAACATAGTCATTGTCCATGCCGGTTTCAGTTGGATTATATGTCACAGTTGCTCCAGTCTAACTAACAACAACAACAACATCAAGCCTTTGGGCTCTGAAACTACGGGGCGGGCCGAGGACAAATACACATGCTTTAATCACACGTCAAAATAATTAGTGGCGTTAAAAGAAATGTGCGTTAACTCGTTATTAACGCGTTAACTTGACAGCCCTAATTTTTATGTTCATATAATAGTGATTTCAATGCCACCCCAAAATGATCACTGGTTCCATCCTGGCCACCCCACTGAAAATCTCTTGACAGAACAGGGCAACTGGATATGTGTTGTCTTAAACTCGTCCCTGGTCGGTGGTGTTCGGTCCGGCAGGCCTACTGACTGGCTGGATGGTCGTCGGAAGGAGCCGTGGATGGAGATCGTCTCAAAGTCTGTGTCCAATCACCACGCCTCCTACCCCCAAGTGCATTTCGGTCATATATATAATATATAAACACATACAAAGTGAGAAGTTTGAAAAAGCCAGAGATTGTATTTGTTATTTTTGGCTTGAGCCATCCCATAATACTGAGGAAGTCTGTTTCTGTAGCATAGGACAGTTTGGATTACGAAAGTCACTTCCTGCACAGAGAAGTCCTGGTAGGAAACATTCCTTAAGTTTAGCTTTATCTACATTGCTTCAGTTGCATTGGTACATTTTCACACATTAAATAATAGCACTGAGTTGTATCCCTTCCTTCTGTTTTAAAGACAAAATCAACTCCATAATTCTACCACAGGCAACACCCTTTAGTTGTTATCCACTGTGAGATTATTAAAGGCTAATTCTCCTAAACCATGCAGGGAAGAAGGTCATGCAAACTGGAAGGACTATTTTTAGACATCAGACACATCTGTATGCTGGAGCAGAGGGCTCCAGCTGTTTCCAGCTGTTTCACACACTTCAACTCACTTTTAAGTCTTCATTGTCCTAACTTGTTTATTGTATCTTTAAAAAAACAGCCAATCATACTTTATTAATGATGTGATTAATGTAACATGAAAGTAACAGTACATTTCAGATTAATTACCGCTTTCCTTTATTCGGCTCTGTCAATAGGTTTATTGTTAATGCACTTCTAGATGTGCCATATTCGATCGGACTCAAACAGTGAACTTGTATAAAAGCAGCTGTGTCCCCAACAAGTAGAAGCCTGATGCTTCCCCGTTTTTCTCGATCAACTGTGTGATTCTGAAGCAAAGAAACAGACACACGTGAAGTTAATGCATCTTTATTTTGTGCCTCTACATTTAATAAGAAAGGACAAACTGAGTAGATTTCATTCCCTTTTCATAATAAAGCATCATCCCTCTAGTGTTTCACTCTCGTATAGATTTATCTTTCAAAATATATGGAATTACCTACTCTTATGTACAAAGTTTCTCTACCATGTTTGACCTTCTGACATTTATTTATTTATCACATCGAAATGTAAAGTGAATTGAATACATTTAACACTATTTAGATTAGATACATGTACAATTTGTATGTAATCTGGATATACTGCAAGCACTGGGAATATCTGAGATATTTTCTCAGCAACTTTTTTACAGTTTAAATATCAAGATCACAGAGACTACTGTACTCAAAACAAAAACAAGGTTGCAATGTTGCTATTCACAATATTAATGTTTCCCCCGATTTTTGTGTTTTCTTTATTTTTACAGAGCTCGGTTTTAATAGTAAATATAACTCAAAACACGGTAGTCAAAGGAAAGCAACAACCAAATGAGCAACTATTTCATCTTCATCCCTTCAAACCAGCAGCTTCTGGTGCGTGACAAATACTGTACTTAAGAAAATCTTGTAGAAAGCGGTTTGACAACAACAACAATATGGTGACTCGATAGTTGGGCGTGCATTGTGTTTCAGGGATGTACTGCTGGAGGTGGTGATATGCGAGGATCAGTCAAGAAGCGGGACTTGGCATGGGAGTGATGACCTGAAGACGATCAACTGAGGACCCTCTGCTCTCCAGCAGTATACAACTCAGTTAAAGCCAATAAGTGACGGGATAAGGTAGGAAAGGAAGTTCTGCAAAACAGAGAGAAAACAAGTAAAACAATTTTGTATCACTTGAAATCAAGTGTAAAATCTCTTGCATCTTTTTTCTAAACATGTTCCCCTAGGATCCTTCAAAACTCTTAAAGGCAGTGAATTCGAAATATTTTGGTTTTAAAACAAAACAAAACGTAAACATGGCAATAAGGTATTAATGAGCTGTTTTCTCTTACGTTGCTCTATATAATATCTCAAAAACAATTGATAACATCTATTTCTTTAACTAATAATCCACAAATGCCTCTACCAATAAGGTCAGGTTGTTTTGAATGCAAATTTGAATGTAAAAGTGGCGTTCACCTGCCTTAAGCTTTAGAAGCCCTGTTTAAAGGTTTACATGTTGTGATATCCATAGCAACATAATCTTTGGGTTTAAAGCTTCACTGTATTTCTATATCGAAAAGTTAACTTCCTTTGGGAGGAACTGTGTCTCATCACAAATTACTACGTGAATTGCTTTTTCTCCTCATTTTCTTTTGTTTGCTCATGTAATGGTCAGAAGTAGTTGCTTGGCAACACAGGACTGCCAGATATGATTTGCTATACAAGGGTCACATTGAATTGTCAGGGGTCTGCCTCTTATGGACCCTATTACTCAACAAAGACCCCTGCAGTGTTGTGATGTGGTGGCCACGCACCTCTTTTCACTCTGGAGCTGCTTAGAAGAGACCGCAATCTTTAAGGTTTTCTTTGATGATGATGTCTGTCACAGCGTTGAACACAATCTGCACGTTCCTTGTGTCTGTGGCACAGGTCAAGTGGGAGTAGATTTCCTTCACTCCCTTCTTCATGTTCAGTTCCATGAACTGCAACTTGATGTAGTTGGCGGCGTCGTCGTACGAGTTGCAACCTAAAACAAAAAGCAGGTGGTAAAAGTGGTAGAGGATTTATGAGTTTATAGTATATAAAAATCAATGCATCATTCTGCATCACTGTGTTGGTCAGCTCAAATGATGTAAGTTTAATATAATTACTTGCATCACATAATTGTATTAAAGCTCTCTGCAGTTTCTCAAGACTCCTCATTTGATCATTTCAGTCTTCCTTTAGTTTGACCAGTTTGAGTCACAAGTAAAATGAATAGCAAGTTGTGTTTCTATGCATTTTAGGTCCATTTACACATTTTCTTTTCAGACATGTTCCTGTTACAGTCTCATGTAAATCAAAGCTTAAGCATGACTTGTTAGCTGAGTGTGATCCCCTCTCACTGCATGTCTGGCAGATAATAGGTTATTTTAGCATCTCGCTGTCAAACGTAGTCCTGTCATAGCAGCACAGAGTGCGGCAGCTTCTTACCATCATAGTCTGGGAAGCAGATGCTCAGGTGGACTTTCTTGATCTTCTCCTCAAAGAGATCCTTCTTGTTAAGGAAAAGCACGATGGAGGTCAGTGCAAAGAATCTGTGGTTGCAGATACTGTTGAATAGATGGAGGGACTCGTGCATGCGGTTCTGAAAAAGGTCAGAGAGGAACAGGATGAGTTTACCAGCTGACGTGTGTCGCCTCGTGCTTTACGATAGGGTGGCGGAGTTTTGACTCACCACTTCGTCGTCCTCTACCAGCACCATGTCGTATGCACTGAGAGCTCCGCAGAAGATGATGCAGGTCACACCCTCGAAACAATGGATCCACTTCTTCCTCTCTGACCTCTGGCCACCCACATCGAACATCCTGTTCACCACACAGAAACACCATGTCAGCCCTGGATATCATGCTGCTTTGAGGCAGTGGTTCCTTAACCCTATTGCCCTGTCAGATGAACTCCCTTCATCAAACCACAATGTGTGTTTCAAATGTAGGGCAGAATTTATGTAAAAGTGAATATATTAAATGTATAAATAGAATTGAACTCTATATATTTTGGTTGGTTAGAATCATACTACTGCTTTGAGTAAAACCGACATTTTCTTCATTACTTTTAGCTAATCTTATTAACTGTTTAGTCATTACTATTAAACTTCACCAACCAGTTTTGGGACACACTTGCATGCCTGCCCCATGTGTTCAGGTGTTAAAGTTGACTTGTTCTTAATATGTACATTTATTCTTTAGCTAATACAATGTACCCCTGGGTTTGAAGTACCCCTGGTTGAGAACCACTGCTGTAATGTTCAGTCAGTTCTTGGTGTGTCATGTTTTGTATAAGGCCCGATTGTGACTCACCTGAAGTACAGCTCTTTGCAGGCGAACTGTTCTTCAATGATACCAGTGGTTTTGACTCGAGATCGCAGAACGTCCTGCTCAGAGGGGAGGTAGTCTGGTTTGGCGATTCTATCCATTTCATTGAGGTAGCTGAGAAAAAACGAAATAGCAATCAGACTTCAGATTTAAAAACATCTCTATCTATAAACACTAAGCCAGCTGCCTCTCTAGTTTTACATGAAAGCTCTCTACTTTTTTCTATCCCAGTAGCAAATGTGGACTCACTAGCCAGCGGAGTCGTTCAGCTGGAACTCAGCAGCGCGATCGTAGGCGGCCTGCACACCAGTGTCTTTCCACAGTTTCTGGATGACATCACCCAGCTCAGGAGGCATTGTGCCCTCTTCAATGGAGTCGGACAAGTTCTGCAGCTTCTGTGCATCCTCCTGTTGGTTTAAATGCACACAGTACCACGATCCATCAGCAACAGTATTACAGAACTATTTATTGTACGTCAGAAAAATGGACTCTACAAGTTAATCATGTCTGGTCTACATCGTTTTAGTGTCATATGAGACCTGTGCAGAGGGAGAGCCAAAATCAATGGTCAGCATCTCCATGCCTCTGATGATAGCCAGAGTAGACTGCAGGATGTTTCCATAGATGACTGCCCTGAACTCCAGTTGTTCCTCTTTTGTGTAACCACCTTGATGCAGAATCCTGTACACAGAAAAGTGATTTAGTTTATGGGTGGTAATTTTTATTTCCCAGATATATAGACATGTTTATATAAAGGCTGTTTGGGGAAACCTCCATTGAAATGGAACAACTATAGGATCTTGAAAGTATATGCTTTAGTTTTTTCCACACATGTGAAAAGGGAAGTTAACACGACATAACAACCCACTAGAGCTGGTGCTCACAGCGCCCCCCTGTGGTGTGTTTCTGACCTCACTCAGCTCTTACTGCCACAGTGTAGCGCACAAAACAAGTGCTGACAAATCAGAGCAAGCGGATGTTTGCCCTGTCGACCTTTTGTTAAAAGGCTTGACTGCAAGTGAAACAGAATGAGATGAGGGAGCTATGGCCTGCTGGCTGCATGCCTAACTGATGAGATTTAAAAAAAAAGACTTGTCTCTGACATGGTGTGGATGACACAAAACCAAATCATGTATCCCTTATTTTAATACCAGGGTTCTTACGGTAATTAAAAACCTGGAAAAGTCATGGAAATTCAAAATGCAAATTCCAGGCCCTGGAAAAGTTATGGAAAACAATATTTTTCCCAAAGTTTTGGAAAAGTCATGGGAATGTAACTAAAAAGCATCAAATATAATTTATATTTTATCCAATCGTCGAAATAGTAATACTATAATGATAATAAATACTGTATCGTATAATAATGAAACATAAAATGGCATTTAACTGTCGAAGTATTTTGCTGGTGAGAGATTTTAGTTGCGTGCTAGTAAGCCTTGATTTGTTTTTGAAAGGCACAACATGTTTCATATGCAGACCTTATTTTCCTGTTCCATGTTAAAATAAACCATTTTCAGTGGTACCGCTGAGAAAGAGTAATTTTTTTGGTCATGGAAAATTAGGTAAAGGTCATGGAGAAGTCATGGAAAAGTCATTGAAAATCATTGGTGAAAAAGTGTATGAACCCTGTAATACTCATCTCTGCACCTTCCGCTGCAGTGATCCTGGTCTTGATCGCTTTTAATCTTTGTCTGTGTAGGCAGTTATTTGATTGTGTTGTAGTTACAACTNATTGTTATTCAAATTAATTCATCAATTATTTTGTATTGTAATGTAGAGACAAGGCTTTTAGTGACAATCATGTATTGCTTTACAATTATATGTAAAAAAAAAGTCTAAATATGATATTTGGCCTCAAATCATCTGAGGCCTGGCGCCTCCCCTTCGATCTTTGGCGCCCCCCAGGTTGGGAACGACTGCTTTAAATAACCTGTAGGCCTACAGGCTTGCATCTATCTTGTAGTCCAATACTAACTGCATAATATTTACTGACACTGAGCTGTGAAAACACAACACTGTGCAGACGTGGAACATTCTGCTGTTGTAGAATTCCCTATTTGATATAAGACTAAAATTCCGGACAATAGATCTCAATAGTCATCTTTTATGGTGTAAATGCATTTTTTTAAATAACATTTCTGAATGGAACATTCTCAACATGAATGCATAAATCCAAATAAATATAACTTAAATATGTAGAAAAATACTTTTTTAAATGTACAATTGAAATTAGATGTTAGCTTTTTGTTTTGATATATATATTTTATATTCCAGTCTCCCTTCAGATATGTTACACTAAGTGGCATTTAACACAATGCTGCTCACCTCCTTCAGCTGGGAGAAAAGCTGGTTCAGGTTCAGCATTATGGGGGGACAGGGCTGCTGAGCCTAGAGATGGATCTTTTGGTCCTGGCACCAGGGGGAGGGACAACTGATTTAGTATGAATAGCTGCAAAAAATGTACCTGCATTTATTAAATGTCAGCTAAAAGAGCAGTGAAATAAAAAACGTCTGCATTTTCTGTATAGATATTAACAGTACTAATGTCAGCAAAAACAAACAACAATTATTATTTACAATGGACTACGCTTAGCTAACAGACACATTTCCACCACTCATGGTCATGGACCACACCCACCTTTTCTTTTGAAAAACTGGGTGACATACTGTCGCCCTTTAGTCCCTCTCTCTTGTCTTTCTCTCCTTTCTTTTCTTTTTGAAAGCCTGACTTTGTGAGTCGTTGAGACATGTTACACATGTAAGTACTAGCATCCCTGCTCCTCACATGCTCTCACTCTCTGCAAGAAAGTGCCGTGCTGCGTTTGGAGGCAGGACCAAACCATTACATGTAAATAGAAGGGGGTATACAGAGGCTTTGGATAATTAACTTTTGGAAGAAAATAAGTTGAATTAATTCTAAGTTTAGCGAGTATACTATCAATATAACGTTCTATTAATGTTAATTATTGATGAATGATGAAAGGTTACTTAAACATTTTTTTCATTTTTTTTTCTTAATGTTCTAAAATAGTTTGGGCCCCCGTGGTGTTTGGGGTGGCCAATAGGGTGGCCAGGATTCAGCCACCCCCCAGCTCCACCACTGCTGGACGGTGCAGGGCGGCGGGATAGTTGGTGTCTACAATGGTCAGGCTTTTGAGATGTTTGGCCTCCAATACAGAAGGAGAGGAACTAGAGAGCAATGCTAAGCTAAACCCGGCTACAGGACAGAGCGATGCACTCCGCTGAGACGAGGCGGCTGTGAGTTTACATCAAAGATGCTTGGTGATCAAAGGCCAAAGTTCATGGACCATGTTTTACCCATGTTGTCATTTTAAATATTTAGAGATATTATTCGCACAGATAATATCTACGATTGTTTTGTTTGTTTATTATCCTCCTGTTGCACAACAAAAAAACTGCATTTTCAGGAATTTCATTTTTTCTGTTCTGTCATGTGTTTCATATGCAACATAATGAACTAAGCTACAACTGCATTTCATTGTGGAACCATGTGCTGCACTTTGACAATGAATAATCCTTGAATATATCATCAGTAACTAAACAAAAAATTCCATATTGACCTTAGTGATAAAAGTAGGTCATATTATACCCCCTTTGAAAAAAAAACAGGGAAATCAAGATCTCCCTTTACAAATTGATTTGCAGTGATGTGTACAAAAATATTGTTCAATACAATGTTGTCAAGTTAAAAATGATTAACTATTAACTATGTAGACAGCCGTGTTGCTACTTTGTTCATTACACTCTTGCTAACTAATCCCAGACCCAAAAGGTTACGAACAAAACGCTTCTCAATGCATAATTTAACGCATTCACACATCCGAAAATTAAAATATACTATATGCAAATATTCAATAAAAGTAATGTAATACAGAATTAAGCTTTGCAACAGAAAGAAAAGTGAACAGAATGTACATCAGCTGTGAAACCGTGAAATGGATCTGATAAACAGGCAGTCTGTTTTGGTCCATGTACATATAGACAAACTATAAATGCGTCAGAGACATCAGAGGAGCTTTACCTGTCAGCCCCAGACTGATGCAAAGGTCTTGTATATGACAGGACTTCACAAATCTCACAGCGATCATTTCACAAGCCTCCACCACTTTCACTTCCTCCCAGTGCGCTCTGCATCATAACATCTATTGAGTAATGGTGGTATCAAGTCCCCAAATTGCGGAATTTAGGTCCTGAATGCAGCATGGCACCATCTTAGTCCTTACTTTCTAATTCTCCTTCTGCAGACAAGACATACCAGCCCAGAAGTCCCAATTCCCAATTCTGCTCCTGACACCTGCAAGGAAAAGGAAAAAAGAATAAAAATATGGCCATATGAAATAAATAATGAATATAAATACAATGCTTCAGAACATGTCATTTACAATTTCATGCATAAGCTGCTCTATTTTTTATTACAAGGCAGCTTTGGTTCTTAACCAACCATTACAAAAAAAAAATGGTTTGTTGAAAAACTCATACACAGATTATCATATTGTCATATATTCTACCTGTTCAAAGCTTATTATAATCCTTTTTTTTTTAAAATAACTTTTAAAACAATGTTACTCAGTTAGTGATGGTGTTGTACTGGAGTGTTTCTTATATCGTTTTGATAAGGATATCTAGCTTTAATGATACATGGTGGAATGCTAAATCTTAAAATATCCAAAAAGGCAGTCCTGTTAAAAACCACTTTCAAACTATAACAGATTAAACAAAAAGTTAAATAAATGACTACAACTCTTAGAAAGTAAGTCATCATCGTTGCGAAGGTAAAATGTATGTCTGAGAGCTGTTGTATTTGATACAGGTGTGCGTGCGTGTGCCTAATAAACGCGTGAATGAGTGAAATACTTACTTCTCAAACGTGAAAATATTTGTATCATTCTGAGCTGTAATTTTAACTTCAAACTTAAATCCACAGTTCGCATGGTAACCTATGCTAATGTGTTGACGGTAACACTTAGCATGCCAGGTATTTAAAATGTAGCTTGTTAGCATAACGTTAAGTATGTTAGCATTTTCCATCACTGTACTTTTTCTCTATTTCCTTTTGTAAAACGAGTTAGCTGAATTTAGTAATGGGGAGCAAAGACTCCTAACTTCTGTGCATTTTGTTTCTTTACATTACCATTAGGCCTACTGCTTTCTACTGGGGCCATCTTCACACTGATAAACATGCAAAATGTAGCTGCTAATGGGTGATACCAAGCGCCATCATAACACAGGGGTGTGTGGAAGGGAACACTTGTTTTTTTAGCGATTTAAAAGTTCAGAGAGTAGATATATTGTTCTGTATTTCTCATAATTCAGATAAGTGTAGAAATCTATATTGTTGTTTTTGTGGATTTGTGAATATTTTAATTATCAAGCAGTCTATAATCCTATCACAGGGTCCATGCTATTTCCAGATCATTGAACAATATCACACAGCCTTCATCAGTGGATGGAGTTGATTATTTGATTTGATGGTTTTTTGTTTGATCCATAGGTGTTTCCACAGTTTGTTCAGTTCAAATTAATTATACAGGTTTTGGGTAAATTGAACTCACTTTATGACAAGGCGTTGTGTCAATCTTTTTTGTATGTATCCTAACATAAAATGTACACATTTTAGCGACATTCTATAAAAACTCAGGTGAACAAAGCAACAAGATTATAGGATGATATTGGCTAATTTGAATTGTATTCATCTAATTGTCATGAAGATATTTAAATCTCTGGACCCGACACATGAGTGAAATCACAGAAACTGTCTTTGCAGTGATGCAATAACCTAACATGGTAAACTGTTACTGACCTGCAGCGCCTGAAGCTTTAGTAAAGCCCGATCTCCCTCAGGTTGATCTTGATGATGACGTCGGTGATGGCGTCAAACACAAACTGAACATTCTTGGTGTCTGTGGCACAGGTGAAGTGAGTGTAGATCTCCTTGGTGCCCTTTCGTTTGTTAAGGTCTTCAAACTGGGCCTGGATATAACATGAAGTCTCATCGTACGAATTCCCAGCTGCAGTAAAAAAAAAAGAAGGTAATTCATAAAAAGAACATTATAATTAACATTTAAAAAATCCTGTCAGCTCTTTTTCTTTTTTGCAATGTAGGTTAAACACATGGCATTAATCTATGACCAGTTGAAGCTGTCATTTAGTGCCAATGTTCTAACTAACATTTGTAATTTTCTTTTGAGGCAGGTTTTTGTACATTTGTTTTATGGATGATCTTTCAAAGTCATTTTATTCTGCTAGCGGCTGTTCAATTATGTATGTGACTGCTGTGCAGAAACACCTTTAGGAATGCTTAGTATGAAGAAGTAAAAAATGATGAACCATGACACCAAATTATGTGTTGCAGATCTATAAATAGATTTAACTGTCCAAATCAATTATGGACATCAGTATGACTGTGGTTAATAAACCTGGAAAGCAGAATGAGCTGCAGTAAATTATTCAGTTAAACTAAAAAAGCTTGTGGCTGATGACGTTCACATGTGTCACTTGTTCGAGCATTTACATAATAAAGAGATGTTGTTTATTCAAAGCCTATTCAACAAAAAGATTCTCTTGCTGCAACAGCTAAATCATATAGTATAATTTCAAGATATGAGATCCAACTATTCTCTTATCTTAGCATGGTAATTGCCAGGAAGTAAATGCTCAAATGCACAAGAGTAGGGCTGTGAATGATGACAATATATATCATCAAATCCCTTTTAGGCTAGGTCACCTAAAACTGTTTATTTGGCACTAAAGTTCCTGAAATAGACTATTTATTTCTTAAACTACAACAAAACTTGCTATGTCAATATATATTATATTCGAGATATGAAAGGACAATTTCATAGAAGATGTTGGCTATATCACCCAGCTGTTCAACAGATAGATACATACATATTCGCTCTGATCAAAACATTCAAATAACTAATACACACCAGCGGATAATATCACGTCACACTTCAAGAAAAGGTTTGTATCGCTTCGTCTCACCAGAGTATTCGGGCCAGCAAATAGTGAGCGGACTCCGGGTGATCTTCTCTTCAAACAAGTCCTTCTTGTTGAGGAAGAGGATGATGGAGGTGAGTGTGAACCACTTGTTGTTGCAGATGGAGTCAAAAAGCTTCATGCTCTCATGCATCCGGTTCTGAGGATAGAGCAGATGATGATTTTTTTTCACAGAACACACAACTGTTGATTATAAAATAATAAGGGTTGTATCATTGTCTGATTTTTTTCAACATGATTATCACCAAAATATTTTATAATAAGTGTATTGTGGTGATATATATAGCAAAAATGACAAATAGTGTCTGTAACCATGACCACAGAAAGGCATACGAATTGTGATTTGATGATAATTGTTTAAACAATGGTATCACATTTTTTGTAAACATTATTTTTGAGTTTTTTGCCTTTATGCAGTTCAGCTGAAGATAATCATAAAGGGCCAGAGAGGGAATGACATGCCTGGGCCTGGGCCTGAATTCCAACATGCTCCGTTGCAGTAAGGACTCACCTTAGAACAGTTGATGTGTACCAATCATGTGATTTTAAATGTAAAAGTTATTGTCAACACTGAGATATCGTCATAATAACCCTAAAATGATGAGAATGATGATTGATTTTGATTGAACTGCTTTAGTTTCAGGGTGATGGGGGGCTTAACAGTGCCAGTCAGAGCCTTTTTGGCATGATGTCTACTCAACCTGAACCAAGGGCTCTGTGTGGCACATAAAATACAATTCTACATATACCAGAGCCTCTTTATAAAAACATATTTTACATGGCTTTTAGTGGCTGAGTCCAAATGAAAAGGGTACTAATGTGTCTTTGCCAGCACTTACAAGCTATAAAAGCTGATTCACTGTCACACTGTCATTACTTTATAGCACATTTTTAAAAGAGCAGAGCCATCATTAATGCTTTTATTAGCAACACCTCTTGTGATGTTATGTCCTTTCATAGACCTGTGGGCATGCAGCACAAAGGATTATGCAAAAGAATATCTCTTATTTCTTAGATCATGATTATGGACTTGTCTCAGATGTTTTCAGTTTAAATGATGTCTCCAATGAGTTTAATGTTTACTGTGCTGTATCACAAATTGCCTGCAGGGACATGGACGTTTTCTACATCTTTTTTCTAGTATATGTGTTAAGATGCTAACAGTGTATCCTTTACTAACCATCTCCTCATCCTCAGCCAAGACAAGGTCGTAGTCACTGAGTGCTACGCAGAAAATGATAGATGTGACACCCTCAAAACAATGGATCCACTTCTTCCTCTCTGAGCGCTGACCACCGACATCAAACATCCTGCAGACAAAGACACAGAGACTGCATGAATAAATGTACACTGAATGCATGCTCATTTTGCTTCTAATGTCATTTCCCCGCAGTGTTTCATGAAGATGAGTGTCCTCGTAAATCCAGGGCAAGAGCACAAACACACATAATCACACACACATGCACACACACATGCCTTTGTCTCCACCTGAGGCCCTGAGAGATACACTGAATCAGTACTGAGCTAACTGATGCAGAATTGTATGCTTCCACATCAATTCAGGGATTACACATTTCCAGATCCTGCAATGTTTTTTTATGAGGTTACAGAGGCAGGCCAGGGAGGCTATTACGGTTAATGTTACACCAATATTTGTAAGTACAGGAGCTGGATAATAACATAATGTAAAAGGACTGGAGAGATGTAATCACATTTACAGCTTCATAGGTGGGTCGTATTAGGCTGAATACCAGTCAGCAACTAATGGATGTTATAAAAGACAGTTATAAAATCAGCACCTAAATATGTAACGTCCCAAAAAAACAAGCCAAATAATCTGCGATCAGGTTAATGTAAAATATGATGTATACTATGAGGGAACACAGACAGCTGGATGGACATGAACACAGAACAGTATAAAAGGTGAGATATTGCATTAAACTTAAAGCATGTGAAACCAAGATGTTGTTACTCAAACCAACTTTGTATGTGAGTGTGATGATAAAACTGTCAAACTGTCAGTGAACTCTAAAGAAAACTGGGTTTTTCTTATTATTAAGTTATTTTAAATGTTTCTCTATTTTCTCTGTATTTCTCTATTTTTCTCTATCTGTACCATTATGTTGAGTATGTTTCTGCAATTTGTATACATTTGAATAATTTCTTTTTTTAAAAGTGTGTTATGTCACTGACTCCAAAATTATTTTTTTCCCTTTATTTTTTTAAAGCCTCATTCTAACTTGCATTTAAAGAAGGTAAAACTATATACAAAAAAATACCTCAAGATTCTAACTGAATTTAGTTATTAAATAATTTCTGACCAAATGATAATCTCTCAGCGCCCTGGGTTGGTGATCACTGCATTAAGATATTAAAGGACATTTAAATGCAGACGGCTACAGAAAACCAGCTCCGACTCTGACTGCTTGTAAAGCCTAATGAGTTGTGTAAATGGTACAAGCAGTCCATCATTAGTTAAAGGTATACTTACTTGAAGTAGAGATCTTTGAAGGTGAAGTGAGTTTCCACGATGCCAGTGGTCTTCACACGTGTACGCAGCACATCCTGCTGAGTCGGGACGTAGTTGGGCTGACAGATCCTGTCCAGGTCATTCAGGTAGCTGGGAGACAGAAAACATGTGAGCAAATACACATATCACCGGAAACTTTTTACTTTAGTAGTGTCTGCAGTACAGGCAGCTCACAAATTATGTGCTTTATAAAAACAGTTTTTAATTTATTTTAACCCAACATGCCAGACAAAGTATACTTCTTACATGTAAATGCAAGAGAACGCTTTTTTCCAACCTAGAGTGAATATCTTATACATCGTTTTACACTGCATTTCACAAGAGACTGTGCTCAGACATGTTGTGCTATTTGGCAGCCATGTTTTAATGGAAAATTGCAGTTTCCTGTAGAGAGAAAATGAACACAATTATGTTTTTCATTTATTATTTATTTTCCTTTTATCATTTATTGTATTTTTCAATGTTATTATTAGATTTGTTTTATGTGCAACCAAGAGTTTTTTATATTGATTCAGTTGTTTTTTTCATGAACAGTGCAGTCATACTATAATAGAGATGGGGATGTATTTGAGAAGACCTTAAGCAAAGAAGAAAAAGGACAATGTATTGCAAAGCGCACACTTGTGCCTGGTGAAGTGGAGGATTTGCTGTGCAGACAGACTCCACAGAATGATACTAAATATGGGCTCATATTTTGCTGCGTGATAAACACTGGCTCCTTGTGGGTTGAGTTAAAACAGACTAACTGCTCTGGTTCCTCTTGTCTCGCAGTGTGGACAATGTGCAACAAGCTCGGCTGTTTTCAAAACAAAGTGAGTGTCCTTGAGTTTCTTTTTCTTTCAGGGAGATAAACCTTACGGTAGCAGACAAACCCAAGGTTTACTGGACTATATTTAGCTCAAACTACTTTGTTTACATTGTTCCTAAACTTCATCAGATGGTTGTATCTAGTAGTTGACTATCATAATAATCTGAAACAGTTTTCCCGTTGTCATTTTCCCCTCCATGTTTCTCCTTTTTCAGGAATGCAATCAGAAGTACAACAAGCTGACACAAGAGTGTGAAGAACAAGACACATCTTGCCTCCCGTTGTGTTCCAGTGGTAATGTAACAGATATAAAGGAAAAAAACAACTCTGAGTCAAACTACACTAGTGAGAGGGGATCAACATAACAAGAAATGTCAGTTTCTTTGGTAAGAAGATGAATGACGCAATTTCAAACTTCCCTATTAGTCCTCACCTCAGAAAAGGAACAGAAAGGGTGTTGATTATTTTCCCGTGGATTGACAGAATGATTCATTGACTACCTTTCTGCTGTATGAAAAAGAAAATAAATTCATGATAGGTTGTTTAACTTTGACAAAAAAATAAAATATGGGCTCAATTAGTAGAGCCTTGTACTGGGGCGAGGTCTCCAAGCGGAGGACCTGGGTTTCAATCCAGGCAGGAACCATTTGCCGTGTGTCATCCCCCTCCTTTAAAATGTCTGAACAATAAAAGCACTGATTGCCCAAAAGAATCTTTAAAATAAATTAAAGAATGAAAGCCAAATCTAAATAATTTTTCTACAGACTTCTTCCCTTTAATGGCAGTGCAGTCTTCTCTAATTTAAATCATTTAACAAGGTTGTTAGTAAGTAGTCAGAGTCCTCACTATGCAGCAGAGTCGTTGAGCTGATACTCTCGTGATCGATCGAAGCACGTCTGAACTCCCACGTCGCCCCAGAGCCTCTGTATCACAGTGGTCAACTCGGACGGCAACACGCCTTCCTCCGCAGAGTTCGCCAGGACAAACAGCTGGCGGGCATCGTCCTGGCAAAAAATGACAATGTAATTTTGTCCATGTGGTGATTCAAATGATAAATGAGGAGGTGGCTCTTTAAAAGTCTTGTTTAAACGTACCGCTCGTGCAGCATCTCCGAACTCTATCTTTAAGCGACCCATGGCGCGGATGATGGCCATGATGGACTGGATGGTGTTGCTGTACACGACCACTTTGTACTGCTTGCACTCCTCTTCTGAGTAGCCATCTTCGTGAATGATTCTGACACAGAGACAAAATTAAAGTGTGTTTTTAGAGTCCAGATAAATATTACTCAGTGTGAACAATGGATTTAACAAATGTGGGACGATTACAGTATTGAAACATTTCATGCCACACTGTCATTAGTGCTGGAATTTGAGCTTCTGTGAGCATGCAGCATGGCTAATGTGGGAACTGGGGTAGTCTATTCACGTCCTGCCAGGGTACGGCTGGCCTCTGTGGCCATTGTTTAACATGTTATGCAAAAGGGGGCTTCCTACAATGCCTAAGCAGAATGAAATGAGGGTCCCCATTAAGTTAGAAAGTGTTTTTTTTTAACAAAGATGAACCCTGTTTGTGAACAATACTCTCCCAAACATTACTAACCTCTGACAATAAGGCTGCAGCTAAAAGTGGGAGTGAGGGTCTGTCTTTCGTCAACGCAGTTTTTTAGCAGTATGTTGGTGTTTGATGTAAGCTTTCTAAAAAGGTTCAACTAGTTACATTTAAGTCCTTTTAAAGGTCCCATGTCATGGCCATTTCTACTGATCATAATTCCATTGTTGAGGTCTACTAGAATAGATTTATATTGTGCAATTTTCAGAACTCACATTGGTATCTCATACAGCATCTCTGTATAGTATGTGTGTTCACTCTCTTAATGAAAAATATGTTTGATTAAAAATGTGTTGAAATGTTTTAACAATATTATAGTTAATTACAGCAAACTTAAGAAGCCTTAGGAAAACATTGATTCCCATTATGGTTCTGTTCTCCCGCAAAACAACAAGACGTTTGACATCCTCAGGGTTATTCGAATGTAAGACTTGTTGAGACTTTAACCTGAATCTGTAACTTACTTCATCTGCTTGACTAGTGTGCTTTTTCCAGATTCCCCAGCACCTGAAAGAGAGGGACAGTAATTAGAGCAGCCAAATGAATATCTGACCGATTACATTAATTTAATCATTTAATGATGCATCATCACACGGTGTGCAATACGGTATATTTGCGTAAAAAGAAAAAGGCAGCCTTGTGATTCATTTGAAATGAAGACACTTAAGGGGGGCCTGAGGGAACGTACTTATATAGTCACATGGAGGTATCATATGCTGACTGCTTACCATAAAATCTGTATATGACAGCCTTAAGCTTGAACACACTGAGCATCATAGGAAATAGAGAGGTCTTTTTAGGAGCTGAGAGATTTCACAACATTGTCCATCTGTTACAAGTGGCCCAAATGATATCAAAACCTCACAAAGCATGCGTTACAATGAAGTTTGTTGTAATAATGGTGAGAGGGAAAATTATTTCTCATTTACAGTATTTCAAAAACAATCAGTCAACAGGAAACAGTTGTCTCGCTCCTGGCTCGGACAGTGTTTTTCCACTGGAGAGACAATCCTAAATATCATGCTGCTGTGGGCGTTAGAGACCAGAGCGGTCATAAAAGCGTCACATGTGATTAAAGACTCCATATGCAATCTAAAAACAAAAAACGCCAACTCCTCCCTTTCCCATCTGTAGGGTTTATCTTAATGTTGTACTCCCCAAAATCAGCATCATCCCCCATCAACCAGCAAAGAATGACTGCATTGACATTTTTTATAACTAAATATGAACACAGACATTTAAGGATTCAATTGGAATTTTTGTAATCATTTTAGAGACATTCTTCTTTTTATGACCTTCCCCTTTAAAGGAAGCAAAGATATTGAAATGTCTTTAAAGGCCCTGGTTGTGATGTGGGCACCAGCTTCACACCATCTTAGCCCTTCTGAGAAGACAACCTTCAGGACTCACTAAAGCAGTGAGAAAAGATATGTGTTAAATGGAATAACGCAGTATATACTGTATAGGGCAGCAACTTATAACTATTTTCGATATGAGTACCAACTGAATACTGTTTTTCTCTATTACTACTGGTACATGAAATGTTAAAAATGCCTGGATATTTTCCAAAGATCTAGGGAATACTTTCAAATTGTTTGTGTTGTCCAGAACCCTAAAAAAAAAAAAGAAGCCGTCTGTCAAATAATCCGATGTGGTGTTTTTACCTTTCCGTGTGTTCATTATTGAGCTTTAGAGGTGCTGGTGGGCAGATTTAGTTTATATTACATTAGTTTATATTACATTTGTTTATATTACATTTGGACAGACAAGCTAATAGCTATTTCACCGCTTCCAGGCTTTATGCTATGCTAAACATAACAAGTCTACTGACTTCTATGGGAAACATCTGATCCATTGTTGATTGGCCAAATATAGTAGATTAGAAAATAAGTTTATATTATGTAACGTGTGCACAGCATGACACATACAGTGACATTTATATTCTGCATTTCACAACACTAAATAACTGCTCCACACTTGTCTTTCTCAGGGTAGGCCTGAACCCAGGAACCCTAACCAACAAAGATGAGATTCGGACAGCGCATACCTGTTTCATTACTTTTTCAATATGTTATTTAGAAAGTCACAGCTAAGATTTTAACTTTTGTGTCAGTGGAAGCTGCAATCTGTGCCTCAGGTTGACTGACTCTAAAATCAGCCAGAGCTGGAGTTTGATTAAAGAGGCATAAAAACATGTGTGCACATGAAAGATTAGATGTCAAGCTTGCACAACCAGTGAGAAATGATTTGCATAAACATCTGGGGGGAGTTTACACTGGAAGTAGAGCCTTCTTATGTTTACTATAACCGCAGTTATTATCAGACATTTCCAGGGATAGGAATTGAAATTATGAATACCTGCTTGTTCTTCTTTTTTTAAATCAGCAAATTAGTCAGAATGAGATTTTTTTTTAAATAAGTAGATGCATTGTCATTATTATATTTTCTGTCATTTAGGAATACTTTGCAGACGTATTTTATCAAGAAGGCCAGCAGTAGAGTGATACGTTCAGATGGCCAGTTGGCAAGAATTAAATCCACAAATTCTTTGGTTAAGCTGTCACCAGCAAAATAGATTTATGCCCGCTCACACAGCCGGGAGAGGGAGAGCAAATTGTGCTGATTCCTTTCAGTCACCAATTCTCTCATTCATGGCATTTTTTGGCTGATCGTGAACCGTGGCATCCTGCCGGTTCCACCAACTTCACACAGAGATTCACTGAGCCGTGCAGGAGTCAGTCTCCAAACCAAGCCTCATTTAACAAGAATCTGAAATGCAGATTTTTTTATGAATTACTGTTCGTGGTCAAATAGGAGACCATTTTCATTGGAGGAAGCTCTGCAGCTTTGTGGTTTGTACAAAGAGTAGCAGCAGAACTCCTCTTTTGTTTTCCCCCTATAACTCTCTTGTTCCAGCACAGACACGGGAGTGGAGGGCACTGCCTGGAAAAAATCACTAAAGCCCTCAACGCTGTGGTCAGAAAATGAGCGTGTCCATATACAATGAGACTGCATTGTACTGTTGCACCACCACACCTATCTGCCCAGTTGTTCCTCAAAGATCAGCTAGTTGCTTCATCTCAACAACCACATCTATGGGACTTTTACTTCTTCACAACACTCAGGTCTACCTAACACAACTTCCTCACACAACAAAACAATGCAGATCAGACTGTAATCTATCAAATCTATCTATCTTTCCACCATATATTCTAGATCCAGGTGTAAGAAAAATCCCTACAAACATAAAGGGAAATAAACTGCCTTGTTCAGAGAATAATTTCACCATCAGTACTGTCATCCAGAACAAACACTATAAGGGAAACGACAGGACATAGGTAATAATCTGATTTACAATGACACTTTATATTACAGTTTTTTCTCTAATCGAACACATTGTACAAATCTCAGATACAATCTTTAATCTCTGTAGCTAGTTGATTTGTCCTTTTGACTGATTCTTCTTAGAAAGTCTAGCTTTGGGGTAATAACCACCAACCACTGCAAGGAAAAAAGCATTTGATGAGAAGACTTTTTTTGTACAAGTAATACAATGATGCAACTCTGTGGGCATCATCTACAACATCAGCCTTCAGGAAGTCCTGCAGCATGAATAAATGTAGTGATGATTTAATTCCGTTGACTAATTTAATAGCTGCATCTAAATCAGATTCATCCATTTAATCAAATACTCAGTGCTCTCATTTATTCTGCCTACATGGGATAATGTTACGGGAAGTATAAAAAACATCTCAGTAAATTACAGAATTGCAGAACTTCCTCAATTTTTTTTTTTTTTACATATAGTTTACTCTTGCACAACATTTTCTGAAAAAGTTCAACCAAAAGGTTGAGGGCGTCGCATCTGTATAATCAGCTAGGAAGTGCACACTACCCTGAAGACAACACAGGGGTGATACTCAGTGGCGGTTCTAGACCAATTTGACTGGGGGGGCCACTGGGGGGCCAGTTATTTTCTGAGGGGGGCACAATAAATGCAGGACGAAAAAGAGAACTAGACAGTATGAAGTAATTGGGCATAAGAAAACAATGCAATACAGTTATTGGTATTTGTTTCAGTACACTTATTTATTTCAGATAGATCTTATAGTTATTACTGTTAGCTTCAGCTTAAGTTATAGTACCATTTTTGCACTAACACCATATCATATTTATATAAAAATAAAGGCAATGAACAGTTACATCT